ATGAATAATGCTGCTATGAACATCTGTTTACCAGTTTTTATGTAGATACATAATTTTTAATTCTCTTGAATATACAGAGGAGTGAAATTGCTGAAGTGGTGTGCTTTTCTATATAGTCCAAATTTTCTGAGGGGCCTATGTTGGTTTTATGAGATGAAATAATTTTTATTTGAAAAATTAAGTGTGCCCTTATCTTTTCATTTTGAGAACATAGATTAGCAATCTAAAACAGCTTCACCTCCCCCTCCTACTTCTCCAATGCCTCCTCCTTCTTCTTTATTAAGTTTTTTATGAAGTGGCTTCCTGACTTAGTCATACCTACTAAGCTCAGGAAAACCTACCTTTGTGCCAGCCTTGGCAAGTTAGCACCCAGTGGTTTATAACACTAGTCTAAAACCACCAGAAAACACATCAGTGACCCAAGTGTTCTGTACCTTCCACTGCATTTCCCAAGTGGTGGCAGAACAAAACTTCAATCATCCAAGATCATTCTAAATTACACTGATATATCATGCCTGCTTTTCTGAGTGGGTAGAAAATCTTCTCATGATTGAGTTGTCCAGAAAATTAGTTAGAACCCCCATTCTCAGTCCCTGCTTTAGTCTGTTTGCAACTGCTAAGGGTTGGCCCCAGACATTTTCTCTTGTGCTCAAACCTGTCTTCCCACTTAACTATATAAGTCTTGGTGTCCTCTAATCAGCTAAGGGACACTGTTTGCTCAAATGCCCCCTAACTATACGATGTTCTACTGGAACATGATTCTTGGCACACTGGCTTAGAAGCAATGAGGTTCCATAAAAAAAATCAAAAGACACATGCAAAGACCACTGCAATATGTGACAGATAAAATTTTCCATAAACGGGTAAGGAAAATATATGTTACACAGTTCTTAAAATGAACATCAAATACACTGACAGAAATATCATTTGACATATAGACATGTGATAAGGCAAATAGAGTTCATCATTAACAATAGAATACAGTAGGTGTGTGTATGTGGATATCCACTGTATTTTTTCCAAATCGGCCCTATGTTTCAAATTTTCCATAATAAAATATTGAGAGGTGGAGGAGTTGGATTAAGGTGGTCAAAAGGTACAAACTCCTAGCCACAAGAGAAATTAGTACTGGGATGTAATGTACAACATGATGACTATAGTGAACACCATTGTGCGCTACGTTCGAAATTTGTTAAGAGAATGGATCCTAGGAGTTCTCAACACAAGATATTTTTGTATCTATATGAGATGATGGATACTAACTCAACTTGTTGTGTAATTATTTCACAATATATGAAAGTCAAGTTATTACAGAGGTACACCTCAAACTTACTCAATGTTATAATTTCAATTACATCTCAATAAAACTGGAAAAAAGTACTGTATGTAATTTTCCCCATCTTTTTTTTTTTTCACTTAAGATTATATTTTGATGATCACTTCATGGTACTCTATAGAAGTAATCTTTGTGCTTTTTTATAGCTGTGTGAGTTGTAATAGGAAGTTTATCTTATAAATGGGGAGGAGGGAGATTGGCTCAGAGAATCCTGAGAACAGAATCACACAAGGAAATACATAAGGCTTGGCAGAGGGATGCTTTTGCTGAGCTCTTGTGTCCCACAGGGGATGTCACTTCAGACTGAATAACCCAGACTTTGGTAAAAATGCTGCAGACACTGAATTGTTCTGTCTGGAACACGGAAGAAAAACCTACAGATGTGGAAAGTATAGAACTTCTCTGAAAGGAAATAGATTTTTATCTTGTCAGACGGACTACAACAGGAGATGAATGGATTTTTGTTGAAGGAGGGAAGAATTTTCTTCTTCTTCTGGAATTGAGTTAGCTAGGCCTGGACTCTGAGATAAAGAAAATCTGATTTTCTTTGTAGGAACTGAACTGATGTTGAGTAGGTAGAGACAACATAGGGGCTGAATGTGGACTGGACACCAGGGGCCTGACTCTCAGGCTAGTGATCCCTCCATCTACCCAGGTCAGATGTCTCTGCCTCCCCACTGAATGAGATGGCAGAACAAGACATCTTCTGTAAATGCATGATTCATGCAAATTTCAATGGATTTATTTTAAATCTATTAAGTAGAAATCCTCAAGGTCTATCTCCTAACCAGACTAATACATCATGGTACTTTTCTAGTTGTTGCAATTATTCTTCCTCATTGTTCATTAACAAAACCCTAGAGTCTCCTGAAAGAATTATTCATGCCTCTAGAATAACCACAAAAATGTATTGTGGGCACAGACAAGAGTCTTAGCCCCACAAAGAAGGAGATATGGGCCTACAAGGGAAATCCCAGCCCTATGTAAATGAAAATCATCAGAACTCATGTCTTTAATGTGCTGATATTATACGTCATTAGTATCTGCATATATAAATATCTTTTGATTACCCAGATCATGTGAAAAACGAGGCTTCAGGGTAAGCATAGTGATATTGGACATTTCATTTATCCTGGTGTACAAGGTAATACCATTTTAATTATCAATTATATTTTCTTATAAAAGATATGGATGACTGGAGAGGCTGAGAATTAAAGAACTCTATTTAATTTATTGATCATAACATTTTAATTCACTTTTTGAGTCATGGCATATGTTTTTACTGGATTCTGTAAATATGGTCCCATATAGTCACATGTATAGATACTTTAAATATGTTATTCTGATGTTTGTTCTGGGATATAGTAGGACTTTAAAATAGTGACTGAAAACAAATTATAGAAAAATAACAGTGACAAAAATTCTACATAAGTGAACTTTTTAAGGTTATTTTTCAAATGCACATTTTTCTTGTCCTCCTTGATATTTTTAGCAAGGTATATAAGGAAAATGAGGTGACCATGAAGGATGTAAGCCTTCCTAGTAGGCAATAGTATTTACATAAACTTGGGTCTTCATATCATCTTCTTGAAGGCTCTCCCCATTTCAAATGTTTAATGTTTGAAGATGGATTTTTATCAGCTGTTGGCAGTTTTCCTGAGGGTGTACTCTCTTCTGGTATTTTGCAGATCTAAGACTGGTTGGTATATGTTGTTATTTTCTGTCTTGATTTGTTTTAAAATTACATTTATAGCCTTCTTTGTGAAAAGTATTTCAAATGGTAGAATTTTTGTAATAAACACTAAGAATGACATTTCTTACTCCCCAAAATGAATCAGTTTATATATTCTTGATGAAAATTAGAGTATTCTGCTTAATGAGAAATATAGCAACTATGTTTATCTTCAGAAAGCCTGATCTCTCTTCTCTTCCCTCGAAACAATACAAAGAGACATTTTGTATATTATTTTAAAGGCATATTATTAACACTTTAAAAATTTTCTTGCTTTCATAGAAAATGAAAATGATTGAAATGAAAGTTGCCATGATACAGTAGAAAACAGAAAAACCTTGTATTGATGGAAATTTACTAATGCATCAAGTAAAATATCTACATTATAATACAGGGGTGTAGACAGGGCAAATACCCACTTCTAAACTGATATTATACTAATGATATCTACCTATTAGATTCATTGTAAGAATCAAATGAAATGATAAACATTTTAAAATACATTTTAAAAAAGATTTTATTTATTTATCTGAGAGAGAGAGAGTGAGAGAGCATGAGCCAGAGGGAGAGGCAGAGGGATGGAGAAGCAGATTCCCTGCTGAGTGGGGAGCCCAAGGATGTGGGGCTTCATCCCCGACCTGAGCCAAAGGCAGATACTTAACTCGCTAGGCGTCCCTAAGAACTGTATTTTTATAAGCAGTTAATAGAATAGAACAATGTTATTTTTAAATTACTAGGAAAATATTCCTACCAAGCATTAAATGTTTTATAATGTACTTGCATGCATGTGTGTCTGGGGGTGGGGCGTGTATGATGTAGATCTTAAATTAGGGTACATGCCATTCTTGGCATATTTAAATCATGATCTATATTCCAACTGCTTAATGTTCTCCAGGATCTCTCATCTACACATCCTTTGTTTTCCAACTGAACGATCCGTAGCCAAGCTCCTTAGTAACAAGCCTGATCTGCGGTCATGCAACCTGAGCAGGAAAGGGCTTCCTATTTTCTAAGTTAAGAAATAATACTCTTGTTTTACTTGTAGGTAGAGCTGAAAGATGAAGGTGGTGATTCTGATCACTTTCCTTTTGGTCACAGCCCACTGCACATCAGTAAGTAACTTTTTAATATCTCTTCTGCCAATCAGCCTTGGTTTAGGCATTCCAAACTTTTAGCTATACTCATCCGCCCACCCCCCCCCAAAAAGCTATCATTGGAATCAAAACTATAATTTCCATTTCAAGTCTCTCTGGAACTGAAATCAGGTCTTTCAACCAACTTTAAAAGATCCTGTTAGAAAAGCGAGAGACTTGGGTCAAGCACCGTGGGCAGGCTCTCCTGACCCTGAAAGAGGAAGGAGGACAATGATTCTGTCTTGACTGCACTTTGGAATTGCTCGGTAATCTTTAAAAAGTCCTTATACATGCCCCCCAACCCCAACCATCTGACTTCATTGGCGGGGGGCATGAAGCAGGCATGAGGATTATGATAAACGTCTTGGACAATTATGCCCTGGGGCTGGCAAGGCTGGGAAGCAGTGCCCAAGGGAGAGGCCGTGGGGGCAGGTTCAACAGTGGTTGCTCCAGAGAGACCCCAATAGAAGGACGCCATCGGGAGCCGGTTAAGCAAGACTACAGCTCCTATTACTGCAAACAAAGAAGGGAACAGGCTGAGAGAGTTCTCTAAGACAATATTCCTGGTATTAAAAATGTTTCATGATGCGAACACGTGCAAGGTCCATTCACTCATTCTGGAAACAAAATTTTCCTGACCGTCCAGGAGAGCAGGTGACCGCACCAGGTGCTGGGATTGAGCAGTCAGAAGACCGAGCGCCTTCAAGGAACTCAGGGTCCAAACTGCCTGACTTGTTGCTGCTCGTATCGTAACTATGTCCTCAGTCTCCAACTCTGCCTCTTAATTTTCACAGATAGGAGAACTTCATTCTGCAAGGCCCTATCATCCTTTATTATGCTTGAAGGTAATTGTTTTTTATTTTAATATAAATTAAGAATGTTTGCTGTCTCCAGAAAGTTATGATATAGGGAGAAAATATTGGACATTTTGAAGAAGTAACATTTTGGGGAACTTAAAGTATGATTATAAGATTTTTATCCAAGGTAAACACTGAAAACCTTAGGCGGAGAGCACAGGAAAGAACCTGCTTGGCGTAGCTAGGAGTGGGCCGTCTGGAGGCAGTCCCTGCCAACTGGGGTCATCTCCCGTGGGCCTGAGTCAGCTCTGGTCCAGGGGAACAACACCCCCTTCAGTATACGTTTTGTTTAAATTCTTCGGCAAATTAAGGGATAACATAAGTCATGAAAAATTTTCAAGTTTAGCATAATATGATTTCAATAGGAATCAATTAATTAGAGCCCAGAAATTACCAGAACGTTTTGTTTTGCAACGTAATATTATATCTCTACTTTTCAGAGGTTCCATCAAGAATGATCCTATAAACACTATCACTGCTTCCCCAGTAAACTGATTTGCATACATCATTATAATAATTGAAATTCCTCATAAATTTTACATGGGTTCATTCCTTTTTTTTTAATTTTTAAATTTTTTAATAAACATATAATGTATTATTAGCCCCGGGGGTACAGGTCTGTGAATCGCCAGGTTTACACACTTCACAGCACTCACCATAGCACATACCCTCCCCAATGTCCATAACCCCACCCCCCTCTCCCTAACCCCCTCACCCCAGAAACCCTCAGTTTGTTTTGTGAGATTAAGAGTCCCTTATGGTTTGTCTCCCTCCTGATCCCATCTTGTTTCATTTATTCTTTTCCTACCCCCCAAGCCCCCCACGTTTCAACTTCACTTCCTCATATCAGGGAGATCATATCATAATTGTCTTTGTCCAATTGACTTATTTCACTAAGCATAATACCCTCCGCATCCTCACCAGCATCTGTCGTTTCCTGGCTTGTTAATTTTAGCCATTCTGATTGGTGTGAGGTGGTATCTCATTGTGGTTTTGATTTGTATTTCTCTGATGCCAAGTGATGTGGAGCACTTTTTCATGTGTCTGTTGGCCATCTGGATGTCTTCTTTGCAGAAATATCTGTTCATGTCCTCTACCCATTTCTTGATTGGATTATTTGTTCTTTAAGTGTTGAGTTTGCTAAGCTTTTTATAGATTTTGGATACTAGCCCTTTATCTGATATGTCTTTTCTGGTTCCATATAAATTTTAGGATTATTTGTTCCATTTCTTTGGAAAAAATGGATGGGATTTTGATAGGGATTGCATTAAATGTGTAGACTGCTTTAGGTAGCATAGACATTTTCACAATATTTATTCTTCCAATCCAAGAGCATGGAACGTTTTTCCATTTCCTTGTGTCTTCCTTAATTTCGTTCCTGAGTACTTTATAGTTTTCTGAGTATAGATTCTTTGCCTCTTTGGTTAGGTTTATTCCGAAGTATCTTGTGGTTTTGGGTGCAACTGTAAATGGGATTGACTCCTTAATTTCTCTTTCTTCTGTTTTGTTGTTGGTGTATAGAAATGCAACTGATTTCTGTGCATTGATTTTATATCCTGACACTTTACTGAATTCCTGTAAAAGTTCTAGCAGTTTTGGAGTGGAGCCTTTTGGGTTTTCCACATATAGTATCATATCATCCGCAAAGAGTGATAGTTTGACTTCTTCTTTGCCAGTTTGGATGCCTTTAATTTCCTTTTGTTGTCTGATTGCTGAGGCTAGGACTTCTAGTCCTATGTTGAATAGCAGTGGTGATAATGGACATCCCTGCCGTGTTCCCAACCTTAGTGGAAAAGCTCTCAGTTTTTCTCCATTGAATGATATTTGCGGTGGGTTTTTCATAGATGGATTTGATGATATTGAGGTATGTGCCCTCTATCCCTACACTTTGAAGAGTTTTGATCAGGAAGGGATGCTGTACTTTGTCAAATGCTTTTTCAGCATCTATTGAGAGTATCATATGGTTCTTGTTCTTTCTTTTATTAATGTATTGTATCACATTGATTGATTTGCGGATGTTGAACCAACCTTGCAGCCCTGGAATAAATCCCAATTGGTCGTGGTGAATAATCCTTTTAATGTACTGTTGGATCCTATTGGCTAGTATTTTGGTGAGAATTTTCGCATCCGTGTTCATCAAGGATATTGGTCTGTAATTCTCTTTTTTGATGGGATCCTTATCTGGTTTTGGGATCAAGGTGATGCTGGCCTCATAAAATGAGTTTGGAAGTTTTCCTTCCATTTCTATTTTTTGGAACAGTTTCGGGAGAATAGGTATTAATTCTTCTTTAAATGTTTGGTAGAATTCTCCTGGGAAGCCGTCTGGCCCTGGGTTTTTGTTTGTTTGGAGACTTTTGATGACTGTTTCAATCTCCTTACTGGTTATAGGTCTGTCAGGTTTTCTATTTCTTCCTGGTTCAGTTGTGGTAGTTTATATGTCTCTAGGAATGCTTCCATTTCTTCCAGATTGTCAAATTTGGTGGCATAGAGTTGTTCATAATATGTTCTTATAATTGCTTGTGTTTCTTTGGTGTTGGTTGTGATCTCTCCTCTTTTGATTTTATTTTATTTGGGTCCTTTTATTTATTTGGGTCCTTTTATTTTTATTCATGATTTTATTTATCTGTGTCCTTTCTCTTTTCTTTTTGATAAGTCTGGCCAGGGGTTTATCAATCTTATTAATTCTTTCAAAGAACCAGCTCCTAGTTTCATTGATTTGTTCTATTGTTGTTTGTTTTTTTTTTTTTTTTTTTTTTTTTGGTTTCTATTTCATTGATTTCTGCTCTGATCTTTATTATTTCTCTTCTGCTGGGTATAGGCTTTCTTTGTTGTTCTTTCTCTAGCTCTTTAGGTGTGCGGTTAGGTTGTGTATTTGAGACCTTTCTTGTTTCTTGAGAAAGGCTTGTATTACTATATATTTTCCTCTCAGGACTGCCTTTGCTGTGTTCCACAGATTTTGAACTGTTGTGTTTTCATTATCATTTGTTTCCATGAATTTTTTCAATTCTTCTTTAATTTCTTGGTTGACCCATTCATTCTTTAGAAGGATGCTGTTTAGTCTCCATGTATTTGGGTTCTTTCCAAATTTCCTCTTGTGATTGAGTTCTAGCTTCAGAGCATTGTGGTCTGAAAATATACAGCGAATGATCCCAATTTTTTGATACCTGTTGAGACCTGATTTATGACCCAGGATGTGATCTATTCTGGAGAATGTTTCATGTGCACTAGAGAAGAATGTGTATTCTGTTGCTTTGGGATGAAATGTTCTGAATATATCTGTGATGTCCATCTGGTCCAGTGTGTCATTTAAGGCCTTTATTTCCTTGTTGAATTTTTTGCTTGGATGATCTGTCCATTTCAGTGAGGGGAGTGTTAAAGTCCCCTACTATTACTGTATTATTGTCAATGTGTTTCTTTGATTTTGTTACTAATTGGTTTATATAGTTGGCTGCTCCCATGTTAGGGGCATAGATATTTAAAATTGTTAGATCTTCTTGTTGGACAGACCCTTTGAGTATGATATAATGTCCTTCCTCATCTCTTATTATAGTCTTTGGCTTAAAATCTAATTGATCTGATATAAGGATTGGCACCCCAGCCTTCTTCTGATGTCCATTAGCATGGCAAATTGTTTTCCACCCCCTCACTTTAAATCTGGAGGTGTCTTTGGATCTAAAATGAGTTTCTTGTAGGCAGCATATTGATGGGTTTTGTTTTTTTATCCATTCTGATACCCTGTGTCTTTTGATTGGGGCATTTAGCCCAATTCAGAGTAACTATTGAGAGATATGAATTTAGTGCCATTGTATTGCCTGTAAGGTGACTGTTACTGTATATTTTCTGTTCCTTTCTGATCTACTACTTTTAGGCTCTCTCTTTGCTTAGAGGACCCCTTTCAATATTTCCTGTAGAGCTGGTTTGGTGTTTGCAAATTCTTTCAGTTTTTGTTTGTCCTGGAAGCTTTTTATCTCTCCTATTTTCAATGATAGCTTAGCTGGATATAGTATTCTTGGCTGCATGTTTTTCTTGTTTAGTGCTCTGAATATATCATGCCAGTTCTTTCTGGCCTGCCAGGTCTCTGTGGATAAGTCTGCTGCCAATCTAATATTTTTACCATTGTATGTTACAGACTTTTTTTCCCGGGCTGCTTTCAGGATTTTCTCTTTGTCGCTAAGACTTGTAAATTTTACTATTAGGTGATGGGGTGTGGACCTATTCTTATTGATTTTGTGGGGGGTTCTCTGCACCTCCTGGATTTTGATGCTTGTTCCCTTTGCCATATTAGGGAAATTCTTTCCAATAATTCTCTCCAATATACCTTCTGCTCCCCTCTCTCTTTCTTCTTCTTCTGGAATCCCAATTATTCTAATGTTGTTTTGTCTTATGGTATCACTTATCTCTCGAATTCTCCCCTCGTGGTCCAGTATTTTTTGGTCTCTCTTTTGCTCAGCTTCTTTATTCTCTGTCATTTGGTCTACTATATCACTAATTCTTTCTTCTGCCTCATTTATCCTAGCAGTAAGAGCCTCCATTTTTGATTGCACCTCATTAATAGCTTTTTTAATTTCAACTTGGTTAGACTTTAGTTCTTTTATTTCTCCAGAAAGGGCTTTTATCTCTCCAGAGAGGGTTTCTCTAATATCTTCCATGTCTTTTTTGAGCCCAGCTAGAGCCTTGAGAATCATCATTCTGAACTCTAGATCTGACATATTACCCTTGTCCAAATTGATTAGGTCCCTAGCCTTCAGTATTGCCTCTTGTTCTTTTTTTTTGTGGTGAGTTTTTCTGTATTGTCATTTTGTACAGATAAGAATATATGAAGGAGAAAATAAAATACTAAAAGGGTGGCAAAGACCTCAGGAAAATGCACTTTAACCATATCAGAAGAGACCACAAATCATGGAGGGGAGAAAGGGGATAAAAAGAAGTTCAGGAAAAAAAAAATTAAAAAAAAAGAAAACAAATTAAAAAAAATATAAAAAAGAAAAAAATATATATTTATATTAGACTGGTGACTAGAACAGGGTCACCCACTTAATTTTGGGAGCATCTTGGTCTCTTAGAATAAACTAGCTCCCAAAATCTTAAAGAAGGAAAAACATATATAAGGGTAAACACAATGAAGGGATGGAATATGCCTATAAAGATGAAAAAAAATATTTTTTAATTTCTAAAAAAGGAGTTTATAAAGTAAGTTGGTTGGGAGAATAAAGAAAAAGAAAGTGGAGAGATTTTGCTCAGGCTGGAGACTAGAACAAGCCAGGAGCTAGATTTAGGGTATATTTTGATCTATTAGAAGTTGTACCCCAAATTTTTTAGAAGAAAAAACTCTATGTGTATACAAAAACTAAAGTTAGATACAATGAAGGATAAAATATGACAATAATAATGAAGGTTCAAAAAAGATTATTATTATTATTTTTAATGAAAGGTATTGTTAAGATAAACTAGTTAAGAAACGTTAAAAGAAGAAAAGGTAAAAGTTAAAAAAAATTTAGAAGAAGAAAAAAAATTAAATTAAAAAAAATTAAATTAACTGCAAGACTAAGGAATCATGGGGAGAAAGCCATGAGTTCCGTGCTTTGCTTTCTCCTCCTCTGGAATTCCGCTGCTCTCCTTGGTATTGAAACTGCACTCCTTGGTAGGTGAACTTGGTCCCGGCTGGGTTTCTTGTTGATCTTCTGGGGGAGGGGCCTGTTGTAGTGATTCTCAAGTGTCTTTGTCCCAGGCGGAGTCGCACCGCCCTTACCCGGGGCCGGGCTGAGTAATCCGCTCGGGTTCGCTTTCGGGAGCTTTTGTTCCCTGAGCGCTTTCCGTAGAGTCCGGAGGACGGGAATGAAGATGGCGGCCGCCCAGTCTCCGGCCCGGAGGAGCCGAGAGCCCGGGGCCCCACTCCTCAGTGCGCCCTCAGAGAACAGCGCCCCATTACTCCCGTCACCCTGGCCTCCGGCCGCGCTCCGAGCTGACCGAGCCTGCGAGCGGTTCAAGGTAACCCCGAGCTGAGAGTCACTCCTCGGCTCCGTCTCTGTAGCCGGCTTCCCCGTTCCAATACCTGCGAGCTCTGCGACACTCAGACACCCCGATCCTTCTGTGACCCTGCGGGACCTGAGGCCACGCTGACCCCGCGTGGGCTTCACCCCGGTTAAGCCTCTGGAGCGATGTCCCTCAGTGGAGTGTGTTAGGTCCGTTATTAAACGAAACGAGACTGAGACAAAGTGAAAGTTATTTAAAGCTTTATTTTATGATAAGTATTAGAAGTCAGACTGACCGGCCAGGGCCGTCTCCGAAGAGAGCGACCACCCCCAGCTTACAGGCTACCTTTTTTTTTTTTTTTTAAGATTTTATTTATTTATTTGACAGAGATCACAAGTAGGCAGAGAGGCAGAGAGAGAGAAAGGGAGAAGCAGGCTCCCCGCTGAGCAGAGAGCCCGATGTGGGGCTCGATCCCAGGACCCTGAGACCATGACCTGAGCCGAAGGCAGAGGCTTAACCCACTGAGCCGCCCAGGCGCCCCCAGGCTACCTTTTATTGGGTGAAACTGCAACCCGTATCTTGGTATCTCAACCCACAGGGTTTGTGTGTCTCTTGTCGATCGGCTAGTTTCATCCGGTCTGGTGACGTGTTCTTCAAGATTACTCCACGCTAGGACAGTTACAAACAGTACTTTCTGGGAAGGCTTAGTCAGTGAACATACTCAGTGTGAATAATAAGATCGTCGTCGCTTCCCAAGATGGAGTCATTTAGGTTTGGGCAAGACCTTCTCACTGTTACAAGAGTACTTCGAACTGATTAGATGTTTCTATCTGGCCTGAGTCATCCTTGTATTCTGGGTTCTGTTATGAGGAATTAGCCGACTACATTTTACTCGTTTCCCAGACTTGCTTCTAAGTACGTTTCTCTCCGAGGGGAGAGTCAATTTAAGTTTACCGCAGAAACAACAAAATGGCTATTTACCCAAGATGGAGTCGCTCTGGCTGCAGACTTAAAAGTCCTGATTTTGTGCTCCGTGGCTCCGCCGCTTGCCAGGAGCCGGCCCCTCCCCCCATGGTCTATCTTCTGTCACTTTGGATTCATTTCTCCTCCGGTCCTACCTTTCAGAAAGTGGTCGATTTTCTGTTTCTAGAATTGTTGCTCTTCTTGTCTTTGATCTCCTGTTGGATTTGTAGGTGTTCACAGTGGATTGATAAGCTATCTAGCTGATCTCCTGCTACCTGATGTCGTCTCAGCTGCTAATCCTCTGCCATCTTGGCTCCTCCTTCAGGTTCATTCCTTTTAAAGGACTTCATCTCAACTGACAAATTTTGACTTTTTTGCCAAGCAAGCTCAGAGACGAATTTACACTTACTTTCACTAATTGTCTTCAGCATAGGTTTTGTTCTATAGATCATGGCCTCTTGGTGTACTGCTTGCTTCCTAAGATGCTTGGAGTGTCTTTAAAAGCTGGGGGTTTTGCTCAGAGAGAATTGCACACAGCTCTCTGCTCCCCACTTGGGCTTTCCGCTTCCCTTTCCTTTTGTAGTCTGAATATAAAGGCAGATAAATCACTATGTTTCTAGACCTCTGGTTGTTTTTCAACTTGAGTTACTATCTGGAGAAATTTTGTACTCTTACTCATCTCGGCTACCTCCTGTCCTCCCTTCTATGTGGTTACAACAAGCCTCTTTACTGTTCACAGACCTTAAAGCAATTGTGCGAGTTCTTCTTAGCAATGTCTCACTTTTTTTCAGAACATTCAAAAATATATTTGAACTGAAACAAAGTTTCTGAACAATTAAATGCCATGTCACCTTTTATTCTCTTGCAGCTCCTTCAGAGATTATCGAAATACTGGAGCACCTGCGTAAGTTTCCATTTGTGATGTTTCTAGCATTCTCAAGACTTGAAAGAAGAGTGAATGTTCTCGAAAAGAAAGGGAAAGACAGGAAGTGTGAAATGTATTTTGAGGGTTTTGTCATCACAACGCTGGCTGATTTCCCATATATATCTTATTTTTTAAAAGATTTTATTTATTTATTTGACAGAAAGAGATCACAAGTAGGCAGAGAGGCAGGCAGAGAGAGAGGGAGAAACAGGCTCCCCGCTGAGCAGAGAGCCCAATTCGGGGCTCGATCCCAGGATCCTGAGATCATGACCTGAGCTGAAGGCGGAGGCTTAACCCACTGAGCCACCCAGGAGTGCCTGTGTATCTTATTTGTAATTAAGCCTTAAATAATTCCTGGGAAACTAAGAAGGTAACAGAAATGCTAACAGAATTGCTAATTAAGGAAATAACTAAAATTCATGAATCTGTTTGAAAAGTGTTATAATTTCTTGAAAATGTTGAAGGCAGTTATTAACTAACAGTTCTCAAAGCTGCCATTGCCTGTTTCCTACTAAAAATATCTGAGAAGGAAATTAAGAAAGAAAACATTCATTTAAAATCCACATAACTTTGATTTTAAAAATATCTCTAAAACTTTTTTTTTTTTAAATTTCTGTTTTTCAGTAGTCTTACTGTAATGTGTAGTTGTTTGTATTTCTCTTGCTTGGGATTCATGGGGCTTATTCAGTCTTTCACCATTTTTTCCAAATTATGAGCCTTTATCTGATCGTCGATTCTATCTGTGCTCTGCTCTGTGCGCTTCTTAAACTTCGGACACACACCCAACCTTCACATTGACTCTCTATGTCTCTTCTGCTATCTTCTATATTTTCTATCCTTTTGTTTGGCTCAGTATGAATATTTTCTTCTGGTCTATCTTCTGTTCATTAATTCTGTCTGCAGTTGTATTTAATCTGATGTTAAAGCAATTGACTGAATTTTTTTTAAGATTTTATTTATTTATTTGACAGACAGAGATCATAAGTAGGCAGAGAGGCAGGTGGAGGGGGTGGGAAACAGGCTCCCTGCTGAGCAGAGAGCCCGATGCGGGGCTCGATCCCAGGACCCCGAGATCATGACCTGAGCCGGAGGCAGAGGTCTTAACCCTCTGGGCGCCACCCAGGCGCCCCCCAAATTTGAAATTTTATCACCCACAGCTTGTAAGTTTTTCAAAAGTTCTGCTCAGCTTCTCAGCATTTTACTCTACATTTGGCATCATCAATTTCCTTGAGAAGAGCAGAGGAAAATGCCTTCTTAGGATTCTTGCCAATCTTGAGTCTCTAAAGCCTCACTTAGAACTCTGCAACCTTCAGAACTATGCTTTAAAAAATGTCTAGTTTTTCTTCCTGGGAGGATGAGCTGGAACAACGAGGTTGGAAAGACAATACTTGATTTTCTTATTAAAGATCAAATAAAAGCATTTGAAATTCCACCGATTAACTGTCACACACATAGAAAATTAGAGAAAGTTGATAATAAGTTAATGGAACTAAAAAAAAAATGCGATGTTAGCTGAAAATTCTTCCCTCCTTACCTATATAAATTGTAAGGCATTTTTTGTTATATAAGTAACATCTATGTAATATGTATATACTGAGTTTTTATAAATGCATTTTTTTAAAGATTTTATTTATTCATTAGAGAGAGAGACAGTTGCAGCAGGGACAGAAGGAGAGGGAGAAATAGACTCCCCACTGAGCAGGGAGCCTGATGCGGGGCTCAATCCCAGGACCCTGGGATCATGACCTGAGACGAAGGTAGATGCTTAACCGACTGAGCCGCCCAGGTGCCCTTATAAATGCATTTTTGTCTTGACTTTTGTTTTATCAGAGGAAACCACCAATGAGCAGACCAACTACCGTAGTCCCCATGCCACCATTTCCACCAATCACTCCTTTGAATTCCGACAAAACAGTCCCTCATACCCCTGACAGACGTGGAGATTCATGAGTCATAAACTTCTGCAGGAATTTCAAGGCCAAAGACAATGTCTTCTTCCTCCAGCCATCTCGTTTAATACCACAGCTGTAGAGCAAAGAGCTTTGTCTAGCTGCGCCTTTTACCACAGTGTATCCTTTTCTACATTCTGGATAAAATGACAGTGCTTCATTAAAAATGTTTGTATCACTATGTCATTCCCAAGTGAAATGTTATTTTCTATCATTATTGGCATTTTAAATTGGGATCAGGAAAATGAACAAAGGAATTTAGGAAATAAGATCAAAATTTTTTCTTCTCGGAAGTCCTATGCCCAGCTAAAAGTCAGAAGCTCTACAACAAAGGAAGAAAGAAAGCAGTATTGGAGGAGAGTGCACAGGCTTCGGTGTCTGCCAAACTTGGGGAGATGGGAGTGGGGTGTGACAGGAGGATTCTGTCCCCAGCTGTTATCCAAGCCCTTGAAGAGGTTACTGGTATGTTTCCAGCAAGAGGAGACGCTGTCCTGACCTATTTAATTGTGACAGAAACTGATGAAGCCAAGGGGAAATGCACTAAAATTTCCTTTTGTCTTATTTGGGAGCCAAAGTTACAAGTCCCTCCCTCATCTGTCTATGCAGATATGCAAAGCAAAGGGGAACAAGAAAGATTTTACAGATGTTACTCATTCCGCATCTGTGCAAATATGTAGTCTGTTTTCCAGGAAAGAGAACAGTAACCTTCATAATTCCTAATTAAGAACAATGACCACAGTGTATTAGTCCCTTCTGTTCCTCCATGTGGAAAAATCATTGTATGGCATTCCTAGAGGACTTTGCCCTCATCAGGGAGATTTCCCAAAGGTCTCTCCTCACAAATGGTTGCAATAGGGCCACACCTAGAAGGGAAAGGGAGTGGAGTTCTTGTAGGAGAGGACATGTATCTATTTCATAAAAACCTGAGTCTCAGGCTCAGAAATGATTTTGAAGACCACAGAGTTGATATCATCTGGGAGCTTGTTAGAAATGCATAGAGAGCAGTCTCCACTCCAGAGTGGAGTGTTGGCATTTAAATAAGACCCTCAGGGTCCTCCACAATACCATTGACATACAGATGTCCGCCAGAGTAACTTCTAGCCACGGAGAACTCACCCTGTACAGGATAGCCCATTCCATAGTCCTTTCTTGGATAGCTTTGATTGGGGAAAAGTTATTCTTTGTATGGAACTAAAATCTGGTCCTAGCTCAACTCTTTGGGGGTCATATTGAATAAATCTAGCCTGTCTGCCCCATGATAAGCCCTTAGACATATAAAGATAAACCTCACAGTCTCCAGTTTCTCTAAGCAAACATTCCCAAGTCCTTCACCGTCCTCTCTATGACATGGTTCAGTTTCTTACCATATCCCAGGGGTTTTTTCCAAATATACTCTTGTTTTTATAAGGTTCCTACTCTTGATGGTGGGTTTCAGAAGGTCCACGTAATGCTGCAGATGTGATCTAGAAAATGACAAAAAGGAAATGATCACCTCCTACATCCTAGAGCCTACATCTATTAATATGATCTGGGGCTAAAATTGTCTTTTGGGGTAACCACTAAGTCCTTTCATGCATTTCTGAAAATGTGTTTGGTGTCTTCTGTCCCTGCGCCTTGGACTGAAGAACCGGACTTGACATTTACCTCTGCTATCATGTATCTGATTAGACTCCCATCTCATCTCCTCTCACACTCAGAGATGGGTTTCATCCAGATTCTATCATTCAATGTATTTGAGTTCAGGAGCCCAATATATGGTCTTAGTTTTCTCTGTTCAATCATCAACCCATTCGACAAATAATTTTTTTAAAGATTTTATTTATTTATTTGATAGAGAGAGATCAGTAGGCAGAGAGGCAGGCAGGGAGAGAGGAGGAAGCAGGCTCCCCGCTGAGCAGAGAGCCCGATGCGGGGCTTGATCCCAGGACCCTGAGATCATGACCTGAGCCGAAGGCAGAGGCTTAACCCACTGAGCCACTCAGGCGCCCCTGGACAAATAATTTTTTAATGTCTACTTGGTCCTAGTCCCTAGGGAAACAGAAGTGGCCAGACATCCCACACCTCTGTCCTCATGGGATTTCGCTGTTTCGAAGAGGTAGTATTTGCTATACCTGGGAGGGTGTGGTTAATAAGGCACAGTTGAATGTATAGCAGGTACCTTAAAGGCTATGAATTACAGTCTCATGATCAAAGTACTGAGGGCAAATTAAGTACTCAGTAAAGCAAAGATTTACCTGGTTAATGAAGGTTACAGTCACATCCACCTTGACAGCTGGTTCCTGGAAGGAAAAGCCTCCCCAGAACTTCCCAGCCCTGACTCCACCTTAAAGTCATCTAGGAACCTTTAAAAATCACTCCAAATCTTATCCCGGACTGACTGAATGGAAAATTGGGGTTGAGGAAGGAACCAGGACATCAGTATTTTAAAACTGCCCGGGGGGTTCTCATGTGCATCCAGATTTGAGAGCTGTGGCTCTGCATGGCTCTCGGAAGCATGGCTGTGTGCCTCTTCTGGTCGCCGCAGAGGCTGGCTTAGCCAGCGGACCCCATGAGCAGCTCTGGGTGAAGATGGTCTCCCGCCGTGGGGGTGGGTCCGGGGTTCGGGGGCAGCCAGTGTGGGACTCCCTGACCGGAGCTGCCTGTTGCAGCTTGACGGTGTGTTAGAGTGTGCTGGAAAGTCTGCTAAAGTAAGACTGGGCATAAGCTTCCCCGGCTTCCTCTGCTAGCAATCAAAGTACTTCTCATACGTACTTGTGCAAGATACAAGTTTGCACTCTAGAAAATTCTGTTGTATGAACTTCCTTGGCAGGATTTATATGTGTACATGTTCTGGTACATTTTTTTAAAAAGATCTACTTACTTATTTCAGAGAGAGAGAGAGTGCACATAGGGAGAGAGAGAGGAAGAAACAGACTCCTCGCCAAGCAGGGAGCCTGAAAATGCAGGGTGTAATCGGGACTCGACCCAGGATCCTGGGGATCATGACCTGAGCTGAAGGCAGAGGCTTAACTGACTGAGCCACCCAGGCGCCCCACGTTCTGGTGCATTTCTAGGTCTCCACCAAACATAACATTTTGTGTTTTCCTGGCTTTTGCTGGAAGCAGTGTAGGACGGGAGAAGCAAGTATTGTTTACGTCCTGAGCTGGAAGAATTTTTATAACAAAGACTGAGCAGATTTTAGATCTCTGAATAACAAAATGATGTCTGAGACAAAAGCCAGCACAGAAGATGTGATAGAACTGAATGAAGTTTGTTTAATTAGAATTTGGTATCTGCCTTTTATTTTTCTCTGACAACAATTGTAAGTTTTTAACCAATCGATTGAAAAAAATAAAACTGACACGTACAAGATTTCAAATGCTAACCTGTCTACAGGACTGGCTCTGTTTGTCGTAGGGGTTCGCTCGCTGGTGGTTAGGAATCCACTGGTCTGCCCACCATAGACCCTGGCCCCAGCCAGCTCTGGAAGCTTCTATGTAATTACGTGCCAAGGCGGGCAGCGTGGTTGGCTGCAAAGCCAGGGGTAAGCAATTCTCTCAAAACAAATCCGGAAAACAGACTGTGGCGCCCTGACATCATGTGCTGTAAAGTCTCTTACACAGAAACACACAAAACCACAGAATTCTTTGCCAGGAGCATTCCGTGGGGTCAAGGGAACGCCTTGTAGGGGCTGCTTTCTGACAGAATCTTCGGCTTATCTTAGAACACTCCAGTGGCAGCAGGTAAGTCTCGAGGGGTCTGGAGGGAAGTGTCCGCCCTCTAATCCGTGGACTTGCTCTGGGTGTAGTGAACGCTCAGGCCTCACGTGGACCTGGAGCGATTCTGGGGGACATAGCAGATGCGATGGTTGCTAGGGTAAGAGCAGCGTGTTTGTAACCTGAGAGCGGGCAGCCAGCAGAGTAGGAAAAGATTTTTGGAATTTGTGTATTTTAAATCCCTTACTTCAAAACTTGTTTTTTAGTGAGTTCTATAAGGTACATAGTATATATGTCATGGAACATGCTTAAAACTGATAAATAATTAAATGATAAATAAATTTCATCTATATATGTATATGTGGTACGGGCTCAAAGGGTTTCGTAGATTACACATATGGTGGAAACAAACAAAGAAACAAACACCAGGGACCTGAGGTGAGCTGCTTTGTTGATGAGGCCTCCTGGGTTTCCAGTTCCTTCTCCCTCCTGCTCTGCCTTTGCCGTTTTGCCGGAGGGAAAGGGCAGATACAGAAGCAGCAAAGTATGTGGCTAAGAAAGACTTATCCTTACATATCTTGCTGCGTCAAACTCAGAACGATAAGGCAGTAGTCGTAATGTGCGCTTTTCCCTCCGCCGGACTCTGCAGGAGCTCTCAGTTTAATGGAGCAGAAGAGGACAAGACAGTCCCACACCTGCAGATCTGTCTTACAATTTAGGAGCTACTGGATAAAAAGGACATTGTACTCAGATTGTTTACTGTAGCTTTTCTTTTCTTTGTTTGTTAAGATTTTATTTATTTATGTATTTGAGAGTGAGAATGGAAGAGAGCGAGCGAGCCTGAGATGGGGAGGGTCAGAGGACGCAGCAGACTCCGCGCTGACCAGGGAGCCTGGGACTGGACTGGGGGCTCCATCCAGACACTCGGGGATCAGGACCTGAGCCGAAGGCTGCTTCTTAACCAACAGAGCCATCCAGGCGCCCTACTGTAGCTTGTCTAAAGTTGTTCCAGCCAAGCTTTATAAAAAGAAACTATCAGAGGGAGCCTGGATGGTTTAAATGTTAAGCTGCTGCCTTCAGCTCAAGTCATGATCCCCGGGTCCGGGGATCAAGTCCTGCCTCGGGCTCCCAGTTAGCAGGGAGCCTGCTTCTCCCTCTCTCCCTGTCTCTCCCCTGCCTGTGCTCTCTCTGTCTCTTTCTCTCAAATGAACAAATAAAATCTTAAAAAAAAAAAAAAAAAACGAACTATTAACAGAACCGGTAATTTAAACACATGCCAGTTACTTATTTAAAAGTTTACTGTTGTTTAATGGTTCTTAAAACCCATTTTGTAGCACGTTTGCAAAGAGCAAATGAGACTGCCTCATTTGTAATAAGAGTTTAGTAAGGGTTTGTTTGTTATTATTTAATTTGTTATTATTTACTCTTTTTTTTAAGATTTTATTTATTTATTCG